GGACCTAGAAGTTCACCCAAGGACACACATGTGATTTTTCAACCAACTTTGGTGCACTGGAGCGTGTGCTTGTAGTTTAAATTTGAATTATGCACATTAAGTGCCTAGAAACTCAATTAATGTATAAAAAGGCCAAATGAACCTGGAATAATTCCAAAATTTAGCATGATACTTCTATTTGGTCTAATCTTCCTGTGTAAAAAAATTAAGGTGGGAGAAGGCAGTGTACGTATGTCGTTTCGCACACCGAGGTGACATGTTCCCTCTCGGAACCGTGAGCCTTCTTGAGGGAAGTTCCGGTTTGCAAGAAACTTACACCAAAGCTTGTCCCAATTCGGCCAAAAAAATTACCATAGCATGTTGGTGCCATGTCATGACACCATGCCAAGTTTCATGATATTCAGGCGTGTTTTGTATTTACAGGAATTAAAAAACCAAATTTCTCAATCTTTTCGTCCGAGCCACGACACCCACATGTTTGAATTTCATTCCCATATCATGCATGGGACCTATAAATTCACCCAAAGACACACATGTGATTTTTCAACAAACTTTGGTGCATTGGAGCATGTGCTTGTAGTTCAAATTTGAATTATGCACATTAAATGCCCAAAAACTCAATTAATGCATAAAAATGCCAAACGAACCCGAAGAAATTCGAAATTTAAACACGACACTCATGTACTAGTTGCATGTTCACTGTACGTAAATGTTCTACCAATTCAAACACCATCCATTCTCTCCGTAACACCATTTTTTCTTTCAAAACATAATGAAAAAATTAGGTATACCACAAATAGTTTACTAGAAAGAATCGTGTGGGATGCAATATAAAATATCTTGGCGCACCGTCTTGTCTGGCTTACGCAGGAAGCTTCGTCATCTACAGTCCACCTCCCCTGCTTGAACCACAATTGCGCACCAGTTTCTTGCGGCACCGAGCAAAATTTTTTTGCCACCGCGGAAATATCTATCTCCCCGCCCCCTCCCTCCCACCAAAAGCCACATTTCCACTGTTCCTCTTTGCTTTCCAAGTTCAAACCTTCACTTCTGCTTTACTGGCAACTCAGCCTTCTAGCCGGCGACCCTTCTTCTTGCAGCACCGCCTCCTCGTTGGCTACCCTTCTTCTTGCAGCACTGCCTCCTCGCCGGCGACCCTTCTTATTGTAGCGTCGCCTCCTCGCCGGCGACCCTTCTTCTAACTGCGTGGCCTCATCGATATGTTCAGGTAATCCACACCCCACCCGCACCATCCTCCTCCTTTCCCGTCCCACATGCCCTGACCGATGGAGCAACACCTTCCACCGAAATCATTGCCCCCTCTTCCAATTAAGCGCCGCCCACAGCCATTTTGCACGCAGTATAACATAGAGCTTAGTAGCATGCGGCCGCATGCGCACATGAGGTCGCGATGGCTGCCATGCGTGTCGACCACCAAATCTTGGAGGAGCACCTCGTCTTCGAGGCCACCGTCGACACCGCCACGTGGTTGTCTACTTTAAAATACAGTTCGTGTTGTTTTCTCGAGGCCACCGCTAGTGCCTTCTAGTGATTTGTCCTCTATAATGTTAATATGGAATCTGATGTTCAGTTAATAGTTTGGTCCTCTAAAATGTAATGTCCTGTTAACACTTTGGTCCAACAATTGCTACATTTCGTAGTACTGTTCTGAAGCATTCTTTCTTTTGTTAATTGTCTTATCTTCTAGTACATGTTTCTTTCTGCAATGTCGTGCTCAATTAACTATTTTGGTTCATTTGGTCTGCTGTCCATTTAACTATTTGGTTCAGTTCTGCAATTTGATTTTCATTTGTTGTGGGTACAATTTTGTATTGTTATGCATGTGACACCAATCGAATTTGGCTCTACTCGATACATATTCTACTGATAGTATGGCAACTCTCAGTTAACCTGATAAAGATCTTCCTTATGTCTGTTGCAGAAGGTTTGTTCAAGCAGGGTCCTTTGGCTAATAGCACATTATTGTGCAGTTGCAGGAATCATTCTAATATTTAGGTTTCTTACAATTTGGTTTTGCACATGTAGGTCCTGCTGTCAGAGGCTTAGACCCACTGTTCGACCCATTTTGCATATGGGAAAATGAGATGTCCATGAATATCAGTCAAGTCAAGACACTCAAAAAGATTGTTAGGTGATACGTCTCCAACGTATCTATAATTTTTGATTGTCCCATGCTATTATATATTCTGTTTTGGATGTTAATGGGCTTTATTTTACACTTTTATATTATTTTTGGGACTAACCTATTAAACCAAGGCCCAGTGCCAATTGCTGTTTTTGAAAAGGAATATCAAAAGGAATCCAAACGGAATGAAACATTTGGAAGAGTTATTTTTGGAACAAACATGATCCAGGGGACTTGCAGTGGACGTCAAGACACTACAAGAAATATGTCAACTTGCGACCACCACTATTGGTCACTGAAAGGTCATTGTTTTTAATTTGCGACCTTTTTTTGACCAAAAAATAGAAGGTCGAAAGCTGGCGGTCCTAAACTGAAATTAACGACCTTCTCTATGATATGTAAAAGGTCGTTGGTTCTTCGACCAAAATTTTGGTCACTAGCAGCCTCCCCAAGCCACGTAGGATCCAGTGTGGCAAACTGACGTGGATAAAATTTAGCCCGGTCCAATTAGATGTCTATATGGGCCGAGCCCATTAACTCAGCCTTTTTAATATATATTTTTTCTGTTAATTTTCGCTAGCTACATGGGCCTGGCCCAACAATTTGGCCTTTTATATTCTAGAATGCAGCCTTTTATAGTCTATACTGATTTTCTATTTTCAGTCATTTTATTTTGCAGCGGGTCCCACTAGTCAGATTGGTCCCACTTGTCATGCTTACCTCAAAATTGGTCCCACACATCAAAAAATTTGAAATTTGTCAAAGAATCATTCTAACTTGGACCCCCTTATCAAGTTTCCATTTCATAGGTATTCAAATCACATACACAATCATTATTTCAAATAGACCAAAGAGCAGATGAAATTCGTCCAAAACAACACTACATTAGTCTACTACAATCATTACAGTATACAACCCAGATATGCCTACTACCGCCTAAAATTACAACACATAATATGCTACTCTTTGCTGATATGCTTCGCAGCTTCAGACTTGGATTCATACTTCACCTGTGCAAAAAACAAGAATGAACATATAAGAGTAAGAATGTGTAGAAAACATCAAACAGTAGCCAATGAGGAATCCAATAACTTATAAGCAAGAATTGACAACAAATGCCATGTACATAAATAGTACGACTAACACCAACCAGTATGTGTTCATGGAGTGACTAAAATGTTCTCACTACCTAGGATTTTTTTGGTATATAGTATACTGACATGTGCAACTCTCTAAATTGATCATAGAAATGAAAAGAACTGTAAGAACGAGTTCATTCAGAATTCAGGCATGTCAAATTTTAAGCACCAGCAGAACAGATCTAACAAACCAGACCATGATCATCATGCATATTTATGGTTCTAGCAAGACAGTAAAGAGACAGAGATACACGCATCAAGCATACACACTGCACAAGGACCAAGCATCCACACTGCACAAACAACACGCTCACATGTGAATTGAGTGAGATCCGTCCAGGTCGGGGCAAGAAGGGACATACTGGTGCTTCATGGAGAGGTCCATGGCACGCTTGAGGCACTCGATGTGGGCGTCGACCGCCCCCTGGGAAGCCTCACGAGCGCTTCCCTGATGTCCAGATCGAAGTGCTGGACTGCATGACGCCCTCCTAGCTCGCTGCAGCGCACTCGCCACCGGCGTCGCGCCAGCGTCGCTGGTGGTGCTTGATGGGACTAGGAGCCGGAGGATTCCCGTGTTGTGGCGCCTGCAAATTACAACGCAGAGTATAAATTAAGCCATTGTTACCTTCCTTCAAGCTCGTATATTAGCAGAATCATCAAACTTCTCGTAGAACTTCGTTACTGATTATGATGCAAATTATACAGAATTATGCAATGTTCACTACTACAGTACAGCTATACATGATACTACTAGCCACAAGGTAGTTAGGTAAAACAGCGGTATACAAGAAGTTCAAGTAGTGAAACTTGAATAATGCTGCTTGAGAACAGCAGTAAGAAAATGCCACTTAGATACACTGTCTTAACAATAACCAGATAAATGGCTCAAATCTGACAAATCCAGATACCATCCCCATACTGTAAGTGCGGACTAGCATCATGAAACAACCAAAGATTCTACAGGATACTGGATGCTGCATAGAATGTAACCCATTGTGCAAAATGATGGGAGAAAAGTTGGCGTCTGAGAACAGAATGTAAGCACATTCCCAAGGGTAGACTTCTACAGGATAGTGGATGCTACACACCAGCTCACTACAAAGGAAGTATCAATAGTTATGAACTCAGTCAGTTAGTAGATTGCAGTTTGCTTTTCATTGGCAATTTGGCATTCCATGTCACAATGACCTTTCTGTATGTGGATGTTAACATTACTGCTTATGCACTTGTTACTTACTCGACAATAAACATGACTTGTATACGGGCTCGATCATGTTAGAGCAAAGAATTTTGCAAGAAAATTATTTCCTATATATCATTGAGTATTAACAGCGCATTGCACAGTCACTAATTTCGTCGCAAGAAGGCCAGTTCATGTTGTACCAACAACGCTTAAAGCAGTTGGGCAAAGAAAAAAAATTAACAATTAGGTGCATAGTTTTTTGCTTTAAAAGGTTATGCTTGAAGAACTAAGCTCCAGGCCCACTACTACAAGTTTCTATTTCAAGTTTGGCACTTGATGTCCGGCACAAGCCACAGGTCCCTTGAATATTCAGGAAGTGCACGAATCAAACACAAGTTACAAGCGAAAAAAAACTGATGTGTGCATCAATTCGAAGCCATCCATCACCATCAGAAAAGGCCAGAGAGGAGTTGGGGAAACAAAAGCGAACCTCTCTCTTCTTGTACTCCTTGTAGTCGTCGAACTGCTGCTGTCACTTGCTCTTGTCCTGGTTGGTCTCCAGGCCTATGGACACAACACATCATCATCGATCCACCACAGACACATGAATTTTTTGAGAAATCATGACCACAAACTGAATTGGGGTGACTGGATTAGGAATTTAGGATTATTAGGGGCGGAGGATGCGTACACTTGAGGGAGACGGTGTACTGGGGGAAGCAGGAGGAGTCGGTGATCCGGGCCGCGCTGGGGTACGGTGGGGTCGACGTCGCCTGGATGGACGCGTCAGCCGTCCGCGTTCGTCCACGTGCCCTTGGGCGGGTCCGATCTCGCCGGGACCTCTTCAACCGCCAACTCCTCCTCTGCCGCTGGCCAGATCCAGATGATGTGGCCGCAAGGAGGTGGCTGGGCTCACGGCCAACCGCAACTCCATGATGTCTGGGCAGGGGAGGAAGAGGCCATCCTGCCCATGGCATCCTGGATCTGGGAGGGAGAGAACACGAGGCGAGGAAGTGAGGGAGGGATGTGAGGAGGAGGAGATGGAGTGGAGGGACGCACCTGAGTCGCCGGACCACGCCGGCCGAAACCCTAGCGACGGGAGACGAGCGCGGGTGGCGCTGGAGGACGCGCGCGCCGGATCTCGCCGGACAGGAGGGAGGAGCGGAGGGAGGGGATCCTTGTTGTATGCTTGGCACTGTCGATTCCCGCCGAAGGTCGCCGAGATCGGAGTGCGGGGCTGTGGCGGCGGCAAGGAGAGCCATGCGGGAGAGAGATGGGGACAAGGGAGGAGTGCGGGGATGTGGCCTGCCGGTTTTTTTTTTGGAACTGACGTGTGGGTTGTTGGTGGGGTGAGAGGGTGAGGGGGGAGCGCTGCCGTTGGATCCGGGGCCATCGGACGGTGATCGATCCGTGATCCGCGTGACATGCTTGTGAACCAATCAAATCAGAGTACGTGTGTGCGACGTCCATGACCATCTAAGTAGATCATAATCGGCCAAAAATAAAGAGCAGATTTATTTGGCTAAGAGAACCAACTCTTTTGACGCCGTATTTCGACGGTTCCCCTCCGCTAGATCCCCTTCACCGGTGACTTCTTGGTTGTCGGTGGTGAGGAGGGTCATCGGATCCCAGGTGTGTGGATCATTTTAGCTTTAGGTCCTAGTAGCTTAGGTTTTTGGATAATTCGATGTCTTGACTTCGGGGCCGGTGGCGGCGATACTGAATAAAGAAGCTCTGGATTTTTATCCGGTGAGGCTGGTAGCAAGGACCTTGGTGTCTTGACTTCGGGGGTGGTGGTGGCCAAGGTACGAGGAAAATAATAAATTTGTAATACGGTAATTATTTTAAAAAGGCATTCTCAGAAACGAGCTATCATGTGTGAAGACCAATGGCTTTCAAGCCAAATGGTCAATGTCATGGTAGCATTCAAGGCATAGTTTATTAAAATGATCTCATATTGTGCACAAGGGTGCATATGGGAATGACAAACAATGTTGCCTAAGGTAGTTTTTATTTTCTTTGGACAAAAAATCATTTTCCCTTTTTCGAGTGCCCAAAACGAGTTTTTTTGTTAAGGACCTGCCATATATTTGTTGTAAAATTGGACCAAATCAAATTTCTAAAATACTAGGCCATATTTAATGCACAATTGACCAAATTGATGGGTGTCAAAAGTTTTTATCCACCTCTCGTGAAAAAGACAAATTTTTGCCGATTCAGTTGGAAGCGTGTCAAATTTGAACTGCAGTTGCCTCATAGTTTGCTATTTATTTTTCCCAAAAATCATTTCTAGGTACATAAGTATCTATTTAATCAGAGAAACATCAAAAGTTTTCCAAGATTCAACCACTAGCTAGGAACGGTCAAGCCCGCCGTTTTGACCGCATTTTGAAACGGACATGAAAAATTCAAAAAAAATCAAAAAATTGTAAAATCTTCGCATTGTTTTATTATATGTTACCAAGTTACCAGGAAAAATAATAAACTTGTAATACGGTAATTATTTAAAAAAAGTGTTCTCAGAAACGAGCTATCATGTGTGGAGATCAATGGCTTTCAAGGCAAATGATCAATCTTATGGCCACACTCGTGGCATAGTTTGTTCAGATGATCTCATACTGTGCGCAAGGGTGCATCTTGGAATTCCAGACAATGTTTCCTAAGGAATTTTTCATTTTCTTTGGATGAAAAATTTATTTTCTATTTTCCGAGTGCCCAAAATGAGTTTTTTTGTGAAGGACCTACCATATATTTGTTGCAATATTGGACCAAATCATTTTGATAAATAATAGGCCATAATTAATGCACAATTGACCAAATGGTTGGGTGTCAAAAGATTTGATCCACCTCTCGTGAAAAAGTCAAATTTCCGCTGATTTAGTAGGAAGCGGGTAAAATTTGAACTGCGGCTGCCTCATAGTTTGCTCTTTATTTTTTCCAAAAATCATTTCTATGTACATAGGTACCTATTTAATCAGAGAAACACAAAAAAAAATTCCAAGATTCAACCACTAGCCAGGAACGGTCATTCCCGCTGTTTTGACCGCATTTTGAAACAGGCATAAAAAATTAAAAAAAACAAAAAAAACTGGAAAACCTTCGCATTGTGTCATCATATGTGACCAAGTTTTCAGGGAAAATAGTAAACTTGTAATACGACAAATATTTAAAAAAAGTGTTCTCAGAAATGAGCTATCATGCTTGAAGATTCATGGCTTTCAAGCCAAATGATCAATCTTATGGCCACATTCATGGCATAGTTTGTTCAAATGACCTCATATTGTGCACAAGGGTGCATCTTGGAATTCCAAACAATGTTGCCTAAGGGAGTTTTCATTTTCTTTGCACAGAAAATTCATTTTCCATTTTTCGAGTGCCCGCAATGATGTTTTTTTGTGAAGAAACTACCAAATAATTGTTGCAAAACGGACTAAATCAATTTTATAAAATACTAGGCCATGTTTAATGCACAATTGACAAAATGGTTGGGTGTAAAAAAGTTTTATCCACCTCTGGTGAAAAAGACAAATTTCCGCCGATTCAGTAGGAAGCGGGTCAAATTTGAACTGCAGCTGCCTTATAGTTTGCTCTTTATTTTTTCCAAAAATCATTTCTAGGTACATAAGTATCTATTTAAGCATAAATACATGGTTTGGTGGTGATACATTGAGGTTTGGACGGTGGCCCAGGGCCCCAACTCCAAAGCGCGTAGTCTCGCATGCCCGTCGCGTGGTCACTGCATGATCGTGGCGTTGCCATGCGTTCTGGGAAGCCTAGGCATGTCTAGTAGGTTTGGCACTCTCCGGGTAGATGCTTGGAAGAAAATAACAATAGAAGAATCTCACGAGGAGACCGAACAATGCTCAAACATGAATTAGCACCCAAATGTTTGATTAATGGTTCGGAAAATGCACATGGCCAATGGGCCTGAGTTTTGGCCGAGGATGATCATCTACTAAGGACACTATCTTGGAAAATTTGCAGCTCAAATGGAGGAGCCTAGGTTTCACTTGCTTTGCAACATACCACACTGGACAGAAATATGAATGCTGAAGCCACACTCACATGTATTGTCAGATGGGGCTCAAATTTTGTGGAGAGCAATGATTTGGGAATATAGAAGATGTGGCAAAAATTCAGCTCATTAGGATATGCCTAGCTAGTACTTCCTTCACAATAGTTCGAGTTGAACAAAAACTTTGGAAATTTGCCGAGGAAGATTTACCAGGCAAATGGAGTTGAATATTGTCATGAGGCAATGATTTGCATAGTAAAGAATGCCCAAATTTTTTGGGGAATTTTGGGAATGACAGAAATATAGGTTGCTTTACAACCTAGGGCAAAAATTGACACGTAGGCCAAACTGATGAGGTGGCACCTAGTCATAGCAATAAGTACCAATGCATCCACGTTCACAACCTCATGACCATTTGTATTGGTCGTAATCAGGTAGAAATAAGGTCATTGGCCACTCTTGTCTGCTTTGTGACCATTTGGTGTCAGCAATTTCAGGGTTTGAGCTCTTCCAAGCAAAATGGCCGTGGATTTACGACCAATTTAGCTGGGGTCACTAAAAGAAGGTCACAAGTTGACATATTTCTTGTAGTGAGAAACAATCGAGGAGGCCACGAGGCAGGGGGAGCGCCTACCCCCTGGGCGCGCCCACCACCCTCGTGGGTCCCTCTTTGCTCCAGCGACCTACTTCTTCCTCCTATACATATTCATATACCCCGAAAACATCCAGGAGCACCACGAAACCCTTTTTCCACTGCCGCAACCTTCTGTACCCAAGAGATCCCATCTTGGGGCCTTTTCCGGAGCTCCGCCGGAGGGGGCATTGATCACAGAGGGCCTCTACATCAACTCCATGGCCTTTCCGGTGATGTGTGAGTAGTTTACTTCAGACCTTCGGGTCCATAGCTAGTAGCTAGATGGCTTCTTCTCTCCCTTGGGATCTCAATACAATGTTCTCCTCGATCTTCTTGGAAATCTATTCGATGTAACTCTTTTTGTGGTGTGTTTGTCGAGATCCGATGAATTGTGGGTTTATGACCAAGTCTATCTATGAACAATACTTGAATCTTCTCTGAATTCTTTTATGCATGATTGGTTATCTTTGCAAGTCTCTTCGAATTATCAGTTTGGTTTGGCCTACTAGATTGATCTTTCTTGCAATGGGAGAAGTGCTTAGCTTTGTGTTCAATCTTGCGGGGCTCGATCCCAGTGACAGAAAGGGAAACGACACGTATTGTATCGTTGCCATCGAGGATAAAAAGATGGGGTTTATATCATATTTCTTGAGTTTATCCCTCTACATCATGTCATCTTACCTAATGTGTTACTCTGTTTTTATGAACTTAATACTCTAGATGCATGCTGGATAGCGGTTGATGTGTGGAGTAATAGTAGTAGATGCAAGCAGGAGTCGGTCTACTTGTCACGGACGTGATGCCTATATTCATGATCATGCCAAGATATTCTCATAACTATGCTCAATTCTATCAATTGCTCGACAGTAATTCGTTCACCCACAGTAATACTTATGCTATCTTGAGAGAAGCCACTAGTGAAACCTATGGCCCCCGGGTCTATTCTCCATCATATAAGTTTCCAATCTATTTTACTTTGCAATTTTTACTTTCAATCTATATCATAAAAATACCAAAAATACTTATCTTATCATTATCATATTTATCAGATCTCACTCTCGCAAGTGACCGTGAAGGGATTGACACCCCCTTTATCGCGTTGGTTGCGAGGTTCTTATTTGTTTGTGTAGGTACGAGGGACTTGCGTGTGGTCTCCTACTAGATTGATACCTTGGTTCTCAAAAACTGAGGGAAATACTTACACTACTTTGATGCATCTCCCTTTCCTCTTCAGGGGAAAACCAACGCAGTGATCAAGAGGTAGCAAGAAGGATTTTTGGCGCCGTTGCCAGGGAGTCTACGCACAAGTCAAGACATACCAAGTACTCATCACAAACTCTTATCCCTTGCATTACAGTATTTGCCATTTGCCTCTTGTTTTCCTCTCCCCCACTTCACCCTTGCCATTTTATTCGCCCTCTTTCTTCGTTCCCCCTCTCTTTTCTAGGTCGCCTTTTCTTTTGCTTGCTTCATCATTATGGTTAGTCCTTTATCTACTCCTTTGTCTCCCGAGAATGAGGTCCTTAATTTTAAACAAAGGGAGGGCGAAAATCTAAAATATGCTTGGTACAAAATTTGCAATGCGCAAAATAGATCTACTAGGAAGCAATCCA